AGGCGTGGAAAAGTCAGCTGGGGGACCAGTACATGGCTGCAGTAAACCTTTTGTCCCAGGGAAGGTATGCCCATTCGTATTTAGCCGTGGACCCAACAGACCAAGAAGACTGGCTTCGCTGGTCATTACAGCAAGGACTAGTGAAACGAGAACAAGCTATGAAGGGAGAATGATGATAGGGCACTTGTAACTATGACTATTAATAGATATCAAAACGATACCAGAGGAGTATTGTGGATTCGGTATAGATTTCCAGACCTCGTCGTATCGAATCTCGCTGCCGAATCACGAATCTACTCTATTGGCTAATCCAATTTTGATTGGATTTGATTGGCTCTTACAATATATTTTCAACCAATCAGAACTACAGCGTGATTCGATATTGAGTAGACAAACCACGTGAATTTTGGGAAGTTTTTAGCGAATTCACAATACTACGTGTACTACTGTAGGATGATACAACCCAAACTGCATGGTACATACTAGACAGATTTCGGAAGCACTGCCGTAGACTTCCCACGCACGGAAATTTTAATGCACGGGAAATATATGGCAGACCCAACTCATGATTTCGACAAAACTTATTTGCATTTACCACATCCACATGAGGAACGATATCCGTATGCTTGCATGTGACAACAGGGACACTATGTGCGGTGTGGATTCGCCACACCGCACATAGTTCCCTGTTGTTGCATTGCATAAGCTTACTCATGTGGACCCATTACCACAACTGGCATCACGAAGGGGTCTTGGCACACACCTCATGGGTCCACAACTTTACTATCACTATGATCCCAGTTTTTGCGTGCCACGTTGAGCAAGGGAGTGGCTTTACGACACCTTACGAAACCGCTTGGTGATTTTAGTTCATGATTAGAGGGGAGCAACTGAGTACTCGACCATGTCCCTTATGTGCACATGCGGATGAGAATTGTGAGTTTTCTGTACGCTTCATGCGCCTATAGGCGAAACACCGAGGCCCCATATTCAAATCGTCGTGGCAGGACAACGAACCAAGGCAATAACGCCGACTGCTGGAGAAGGTTCAGGATAACTGGCTGAATGAATAAGACAAGATAAGATGCACGTAATCGCTCCACCTGAACTCTCGGAATGGCCTAACTTAGCGTGGAAAAGGCTGGACACCAGGCCACGTCGGGCATGGAAGGGTGAGGAAGTGTGCATTATGCGCGACTGGTTGAAATCCACGATTTAAGACCAATGATGAAGCCCTAGAGGAGGGATGACCTTTGCCGTACAAGTGGCCGTTTCTACGGCATCCCACATAAATTTTGACAGTTCCCGTAAACTCGATAAATTTTAACGAGGTAAATTGACGGCAAATGCATGGGAACGTGTTCCGAAATCTGTCTGTCTTACTGTACCGTTTGCACTGACTTTAGCCGTACTACTCTGTAACGTTATGAGCAACTGAACGAGCGATGGTTGGGACAGTAGTGTAGTAGCGTTCACTTCTAGAACTTCGTAACCAACGAACAGGCTGCCCCGAAGTCGATAGTGGGTATGGCAGTGAAACGTGGGAGTAGGACAATGTAGCTAAGTACTTAAGACCTCCATTTGAACGGTGGAAGGGGGGGGAGGGAGATGCAACGGCCTTGTATCGCGGCTATTCTGTCTCTACTTGATGTCCTTGTACACTTGCTTGCCACTGGACCACGGCATGTAGTTGTGCTTGCACATGTGCTTGATTTGGCGCTTCATGGTCAGCGTGAACAGCAAGATGAAGTACATGAGCAAGATGGGCCAAAACACCTACACTTAAGCGTCAGTCAGCACGGAAGAACACACTGGGAGGAGGAGAACAAACATACCGGGACGTTGAACACATCGAAAATGTCAGCAGTGTCGCAATGAACGTCGCCTTCGTGGACGTATAACATAACTTAAACTCCGACTAAAACTCTGGCTAAATGGACAGAACTCTTCGCTGTTGGTCGACGGAAGCACAGGGTCCTCCTCCGTTTCAGGATTGATCTATAGCGTACGTACATGCGGTTAGCAACGGTAGAAAGACGTCTGGGCGATGATACATACCTGCGGCGAAAGGAACCCAATGAAGAGGTTGAGCAAGTAGATGCCCAACTCGTACGTGATGATGTGGAAGGCATTCAAGTAGTAGACGCGGACAAGGTACAAGGTGAGCAACACGGCGGACGCAATCCACCAACCGTACACGTATATTGTCGATTGGCCCAACACGTGGCTCGTTCATAGTGTGTCAGATTGAAGTTGACGCCACCACTTTACTCCTCATCCTCGAGGAGCTAACTATTGGTACTGTATGTATGCAACACATTCTACACACAACATGACGCTCTTGGTGTTTCAAGCACAAATGCAATGATACTTATGTTTTGTTAACCCTAAGCCGCGATCGACCCAACAACGCTGTCGTCGATGGTGCTGGAGGGCACGGCCTGGTAGCCGCGCGATTCGCCGAGCACCTTGAGGGCCTTGAGGTCGTCGTGTTGGTCGTGGTGGTTGTAGATGGTAACCATGTAAGCCCCGCCGCCGGCAATGGCTCCGACGATGGGGGCGAAGATCGGGATCAAAAAGTAGTAGTTGGCCGCGGTAAATACACCCACGCCCCAGCCGGAGACGGCGGTGAAGATGCGCGGGCCAAGATCACGAGCAGGGTTGAGGGCGTAGCCGGTAGGCAAGCCAAAGCTCATGCCAATCATGACGAGCACCAACGCGACTGTGAGGGGCTTCATGATGGGGTTTGTGGGCATGTTGGTGGGGTCGTCCAGACTGAAGATGGCAAATACAAGCAACGCAGTGCCAAAGAATTCACACAGGAACGCGCTAAACAAGTTCTGGGCGTACAGGTCGATGGGGTACGTAGCAAAGATGCCCGCCGACTTGGCGATGCTTCGGTCGGCGTCAAACTCGTTGAACGACGGGTAGTAGATAGCGAACACGACCGCAGCGCCCAAGAAGGCGCCGATCAATTGTGCGACGATGTACAGAGGCACCTTCTTCCACTCAAAGCGACCGTGGACGGCCAGCGCGATGGTCACGGCAGGGTTCAAGTGCGCGCCGCTGATGCCGCCGCACGTGTGGATGCCCATCATGAAGGCGAGGCCGACGCCGAGGTTGATGTGTGAGTAGTCGCCGTGCGTGGCGCCACCGAGGACTACTTGGGATACGACGCCGTTCAGGAACGCCATCGTGATGAACATGCCCGTGCCTTCAGCGAGGATTTCGCGGGTGAAATGCTCCTTGACGCGGTACCAGGGGTACTCGACGGTGCCCGTGGTCTCGTCAAACGACTTCTTCTCCAGCGTGTGGTAGTTGTTCAACATCATGACGATTGCTCTTGGTGACGAAAATTGAAATGGGTCTCAGTGTGAGTCAATGAAACTTGCAAAAAACGAAGTGGAGGGTACATACAGTGTACACACACACTTCTGACTTCAACCTTCGTCGAAGTGTCGCCAGTAGCAACCCCACGCACACCTCATCTGGGTTTACGTACAGTACGCATCCAAACATACCGTAGGGCTTTTGCTTCAAGTTGTTGGGTTCAGTGGCGACTGGAACATGGAACCACATGTCCCCACAACGGCTGCACCCACCAGAACCGTGCAGGCAGACTTATTCCCCCTCAGCAGGTTCTAGTTTACCTTCAAAACTACTTCGAAGTGTTTGTGGGACTCCCGACAGCCAATCAGGACGCGTGAATCGACAATTCGTTGCACAAATAAGTAAGTTTCAAATGATAGCACCAGTCCAACGCATGTCGGCTAGAGGTTAAGGCATCGCTTAACCCCAGGAATACAAACACTATACTACGTAGTACTAGTAGTTCGAAGTATGCGAGCCCACCGTGGGTAAGACCAAGCCCGAGGTTTCTAGGATGTGCTTCGAAGTATTAGTTTACTACGTAGTAGTGTACAGTATGTTTGTCCGTCTTATAAGGCATTCCTACTATAGGTATAGTTTGGGTTCTCTGAAAATAAGGTGTATACGTATTCTGCTGTGGGGAATTATTCCGTTCAGACAACGAATAGCTGTACAACATATGACGATCATCCGCATATGTCCTCCATTATTCGACTGTTCGTTCACAATGATATCTACTTGCCAGTTTGCCTTATGGCAAGATACATTACAGTCCACACCAGTGCCTAGTACTCCGAGTATGATTGTAGGACATGTCTATTCAAGCGCCTGCTTTCTTCTCTCTCGACCTTACTATCGCTTGTCAATATGATACACCATGTGCAGCCACCAATGCACTAAGTGCAATAAGGTGAAGTTTATGTTGTCCTGCGAGGAACGCTTGTCTGTAGCTGGAACTATAGAATATGTCACCGTTCAATTTATATGGCGGAAAACGATGTGACTGGAATGGCCGATACTAATTAGAAGTACAGAAACTAGGTATTTGCGCAATTTGTGGTGCCGCATTGTGGTGCTTCGAAAGCCTGCTGGCATGAAAAATTCAGTCATACAGTATAAAGTGCTGTACAGTCTGTAGACCAGCGTTTTGGCAGCCACCGAAGTTCCTGTGTTCGACCGACACAATCGAACTTGACTTGTTTCCGGTTTGGCATCGAATTGCTTGGTTCTGGGGCTGGACAGGTTGACATACACAAGTACAGTATAGGACTGGCGAAAATTGTAGCAGCGACAGCATTGTGTGTAGGACGGCTGATATGTGGCTTGAAAAGTTCATTCGATTTCAGCTAAATTTTGTGGGGTTTCAGCTTCGTCTTGTTTGCCCACGCCAGTCAAGGTGGCGCCTTCGATCCTCGAGCGCTACCAGCCATTCATTTGGAACGAACGACCACACTGGCATGTCCACCGCAAGTTCAAGGTAAATTGGAAGTTTAACTTGTGGCCAAGACCATCAGTGACTCACAAGGTCATAATGGTGTAGTCGTGTTGTACAGTGTACTGTACTAGTAGACGTTAAACTTACTGTGCGCCTTAGAATTCGTCATGTTTGTAGCGTTGAAGTCAACTGAGGCGAACGGATAACAACTTACAGTATTTCGTAATTAATACCTTCGTTCGGGGACAAACCGCTCCGTACTCGGGGGACAACGCATACAGCTCTTGCACTTTAGAACTGGATTATAAAAGACATTGTACACGCCAAATGAATCACTGGCAAGCACGCACAGCCCCACTTACTCGTCAGATCCACCACTTCACCAAGTTACCGCAGCAGGACCATGATTATCAAGGGCATCGCCCGCTGCTTAATATGTTCACCAAAATATGCCATTTATGTTACTCTGAAGTCTGCAATATCCCATTCTGTTACTCTGATGTCTGCACCCCCCCTCGCTTCTCGCTTTCCAGGCGCCCAGTGAATCCTGGCGAGCTACGTTTTGGGTTACTCGTGTCACTCAGTAGAATCTACTCTCCTGTCCCCCCCGTGCACGTTTTCGTGAGGGGGGTAAACTCCCCGCATCTTGGCTCCTACTACAGATCGTCAAAATGGTGTGACCAATCGGCGGACCGGAGTTATCAAACCTGCAGCATTCGTTTCCTCGATCATCAAAAATGTAAGTTATAAGTTGTTCCTGCATTCAATATTACCGGTAGAGTCCTGTACAGTATTGAGGTCGTTGACTTCGCTACAATTGTCGCTGGGGACGGTGGCGTTGCATCAGAGCGATGGAGCTTCGATGTGACTACAGTATCAATGCTAGGCAATTAGACGCTGTAAGTCCACAATTGGTGGGGGCTTCGCAAGTTGCCCTGATAGATTCACAAGCCAGGTCCGATGTACTGTAGGTTTGTCACTGAGGGGTTAATATCATCGTCACCCCTTGTTTAACTTAATAGTGTCGAAAATGCTCACTGGGAGTACACTGCTACCAGGGTGTTTTGTGGGGGGGTTATGCTTGTCGAACGTTATCAGTGGATTGCTTCGCTAACCCCTGATCATGCTCACAACTCCAGAATTGAGCATTGCTTCGGGGCTTAGGACGAAGTTCCGGGTACAACGTTAAGGGCTAAGAGTATTGTGGCTGATTTGGTGTTGGTACATTCGTATCAAAATGCTAGCATTCGCAAATGCACCATTAGACACGTGTGAACCCCCCACTTATCGAACAAGCCTAACACCTTCAAAAAGCACAGGTGAAGACCCTACACCCCCGCGACGAGTGATACCGGTAACTCGATGGACGGCCTTGATAACCCCTATCAATTGGCACCTTTCGTACTCTTCGGACATACATCTGTCGTAAGGAACATTGCTTGGCTCGCGATCAAAAGTATACCTACACGACACGTGTCGTTGTTATGATTTCGGTCACAATGGGGGCCAGCGACCGCGTCCACATCTTCAACTCTTCGAGGCCTCCAGAGGGGGGTTACCCAGTTGGACCGCCTGGTGCTTGGCGTGATGATCTCGTGGATGAAAAACAAGTAGGACTCGCTCATCGCGACTACAAAGCCCCCTGAAGATGAACTCCGGAGGATGCATGGGATCGTATGTTTGTTGCTTGCCGATGGCACGTTCGACGTCGCAGAACAGTTGCTTCAAGCCTCAGTGGACCTGTTCATGGAGCAGCAACAAGCCGCCGACGACGGACACGGAAACGTTGATGCGCGCTTTGGAATTATGACTGGCATTGGAACCGCGTATGCCAAGAATGGTCAGCACCAGGACCCGTGATGTGGGATACAAGGTGATAGATTCAGTGGGCTGTTTGATGCCGTCGATGCTAGCGACATCACGACACACACATATCCCGCTAGGTGCTACACTGTACTTACCATACTGTATTCTGGTTGATAATGCGATTGCATATTAGGTGCGGACACACCGGTATCGATCGCGCCAAGGACACGAATGGTATCACTCCTTGTTGGCTTAACTATAGGTCAAATAGCAAGTTGGACACGCCACCAGGTAAACGTAGCAGACAGAATTCGCCTAATGACAGGAAGGGCAAAGTGGGTCGATTTCCAAACTGTTTATCGTTTTATTTGGCTTCTTTATATTCCTATCAAATATCCTACACTCAAGACGTCCTTCTGTAGCCGTTGGAGTCCCTAGAGAGAGTACATTCAAGCTATATCTACTTGTTTGTCGTCAACAAGCCATTCGCAATCGGTTCCATCGCTTGCCCCAAAAACGCTTTGCCCGATGCAACGGTGTCGCTGGCAATCAAAAACGACATTTTGACTAGTACGCCCAACCACCAGAGGTTACAGTCGATACAATATGGCAATACATGACTACATATGTTCGTACTCTTTTGGCCCACAAACCGAAGCGCGGTGATTTCAATGGGAGAGATGCCACCGACAATCACCACCAGCACCTTTTTCGTCTTCTTTGGCTTGGCTGCCTAACGTTATCAAGGAAGAGTTCGATCAAGAACTTCTCAGCTTTATAGGATACATAAGATTGGCGTTGCTTACCGCTGCGAGAACTGCCGACGGACCAGGCAGCATGTTCAATCGGGCGGCCAGGGGTGTCCACCCTTCAGGGCCTACGACCACCATCCATTGTTCACAAAATTGAATTCAACCATATATATATATATATATATATTTCACGGCGTACTGAGTGCAGCTTGAACCAACTTGACCGTAAGCGGGCAATACCCGCCAGCCACGTACGACGGGTCGTCTGGATTGCACGGATCGCAATCAAAATGCCCCGTCAGGTTCCATGCGACAAGAGGGTTCGATGGAGCGGAGGCGTTTCCCCCCCCCGGTGGGGAAGTGGTGGGGGTAGCCAAGACTCCCATGGCTTCCAAGTTTTCAAACACGTGCAAGTACTCAAACCCGTACAAGTGGAGGCATTGTGTCTTGAGATGCATGTACGCAGGCTTGGGCAGCCCTTGGTTGGCCAAACTATGGCTACACAAAAACATATTAAGGTTTGCCGACGATACATATATAATATATATTATATATATATATAATCGATGAAGTACAGGCAAAGCAGGCGAAGGACAGTGTACACTGGCGCGTGTTGCCACACGAGCGCCTCAATGTCGCCGAGGTGCGGCTGCCGTTCCAATCTACGCGACAGATCGTCGTCACATATACGACAAAGGGATACATTTATTGTTAGGTTTGAACAGACATGGACTTTTCCAGTTGCCACTGGCTTTTGAACGATTTGGATTTCGTGGTCGTTTGTACGAGCTCTGCCAGTGCAATGTGCTGGCTGAGTACCGCGGCTTTGTCCTATCCCACATATATATATATATATATTGTAACCTTTCGTTCCCTACATCCTGCCGATTATTTTCCGTACCATGTGTTGGTTCAGGGTGGTGCCGAGTTCATCTAGCTGCTTGACCGTGGTGGACTCTGCGTGCAGCAACAGCTCCATGTGCTTGCGCTCTTCGGCAAACACTGCGCTGGTGCTGTGCAGGTACGGCCCGATCGCTTGAATATGTTTGTTCCGAATGTCTTGGAAAATCCGATCGTCGCCATTCAAACTCCACACCACCCCCTCCTGTAGCTCATCAATGATCCTGTACAACTCCAACCATCGCACACGTCGATGTATGCATGTATGTATACCTTATCGCTGATGGTGACACTAGTGGGTGCCACAGTTCCGGCGTTGGCTGTGGCATCCACTGTCACCGTACCATTTTGGAGCCCTAGCAACTCGGCCAGCAATGCTTCGTGGCTAAAAGAACACAAACGCGTGAAACCAAGCCGTGGTTTTCTTGGTTTTGTACGTCAATGGGGTCGACAACGGGGCGATGTAGTCGAGTTTTCGGTCCAATATGATCATGTGGTCAATGCGCAGCTTCTTGGGGCGAGAGGACGGGGGTGGACTGGCGGCATTGAACTCGGACAGCGACTTCCACACGGCTTTGGCTAGCTCGCCTTTGTAGTGCACGGTGGGGATATCGCCAGTAGTTTGCTGCAGCACATGCAACGCATGCCCCAATTCTCTAATGGCACGATTATGAGGAGCATATTCAAGACTTTGTATGTAGATATACGTGAGAGTTGTCTTGTTGTTTTGGATGTAGCAGTCGCGTAAGAGCGTGTCGTGGGCCAGGGTAAGCATGTCATTGTCCGTGGGAATGAAGCCAAGTTGGAACGGATGCACCGCCACTTGTTTGTCGACACCAGCACGAGACAATACGTCTGCGCACAACGCGTTCCAAGTACCTGCATGCAAGTGAACCTAAGCCTCGGACGATGGGGAGACTCACCTGTGTACAGCACAACCGACGACGAGGACGAAGCACCACGGAGTTGCTGGAGAAGGTGTTGTGCCACGAGCTGTACATGGGTAGTCTGGGGACGCACGATGTAGACGACGGTCGAGGTAGGCATGGGCGGTGCCGACGGCGACGCGAGCGAATGAATTTCCCTCACACGCAACACCGTCAAGTCCTCACCCGACAGGGAAGTGGCGTGGTGGAACAGCGACAGCAGCCGGGGTTCCACGAAGAGCTCGATGTCTCCGAGGTCCAACGACCCAAGGACTCGGCGCAACGCATCTGTGGCCGCCTCCCGCACCAGGTTGAGCGAGAAGCTGCTCTTCTCGAGTGAACATGCGTGGTTCATGTCGTCAACCATGCTGACGCCGTTTCGAGATTTCCATCAAGATTGTACGGATAAAATGACACCATCCGGTTAACTTCGTCGCGGTGGCAATACGAAGCCGACATATGAAGCTGGTAAGGAGGACGTCCGCGCAACACCTCCTGTGGACGCTTATACGACTGTGTTGTAGATTCAACTGGGGCATGCGGACGAAGGCGTGTCCTCGTTCTTGCTGGGGACGTGCGGCCGTCAAGTTCTTTTGGACTGCGGCTTAAACCTGAAGGCACTTGTGCATTTGCCTTTGCATGGTGCATTTCGTTTCCACGGGCCAAGTTTGCACTTCATCGACGCCCAAACCGTCGACTACGTTGTGATATCCAACCACATGAGCTTGCTTGGCCTTCCTCTACTCACGGAACGCACCGCTTTCAAGGTACAGGGCTACTCCAACTGATTGCCTAACACTGGATCACCCCATAGGGCGAGATCTTTGCCACGGCGCCATCTGTACAGTATGGCCGGAGGATGCTCCTGGACATGCTGGACATGGTGCAAACGCGACAAAGCAACAGCGGAGGGCGGCCGTGGATGTCTCGAGCGCACATCAAGACGCTGCCCCATGCCGACCAACAGCTGCTCCTGGTTGGCCACGTCATGGCTTCTTCTTCTTCTTCGTTGGTTCACGTCCAATCATATATATTTCGTTAGGGCATGGAGTACGACCAGTGGGCCGACCCGTACACGCGGTTTGAAATCGAGCGCTGTCTGCAACGCATTACGATTGTGCCGTATCACCAAGTGGGCGAAAAAAACTTTTTTTTTTTTCTTTTCTCTCACCAACCCACTGGTAGACGCTGACGTTATCGTACGAACTCAAAGTGACGGCGGTCAGTTCTGGCTTTGCCCTTGGCGCGGCGTGCTGGGTTGTGGAAAGCCCCATGGAAAAACTGGTACCTGATCTTGTCACCTTGGTTTTATTCGTTCGTATACTATTGTATTATTATATTTATTTTTTTGAACGTACTATTTTGCCACCGTCGTGTTTCCATTCGTATTATGAATATTATATATTTTGATATTATAGCAGTTCACCACATTTTGTTTAGTTGTTCCCAAGATTAGTATTGTTCTTTCAGTCAAAAGTTGGGCTTTTGTGTGCCCATTCGGCAAATCGATGGATCGGTGATTTACAGTATGAATTCTTGTGTGTAAACAGTGTCCTGTGGTTATGTTATTCACACGACTTCAAGTCATACACAACGAATCGTTGATGCACGTATTTCATTGGCCACTTGATTCGTGCTCTGGGTTTTGATTGGTCGATCGATTGCCTGCCGATTTGGTGTCGACTCCAATTTCGATTAAGCAACCCCCCTCCCAGCTCGAATCGAGCAATACTCTCCGATGCATGTTTCATAAATTCTTATTAAATTTATCGATTTTATTATTATTATTTTAGGGTGGGTCTGAACCACACCCCAACTTTTGTCCAATTTATATTTCGAAATTTTGGTTCAAAGTAATTCAAAGAGTTTGGTTGTCACCTATTTTTGACTATTTGGATGAAACTGATTTCGAAAGAAATCTACGATCCTCAGTTCTTGCCAACTTTCAGAAAAAAAGTCCCTTGAACCACTTTTATAATTTTTGGCGAAAATCGAGATAATTGGCAAAAGAATGAATTCTCTAAATTTTGGATCCAGACAGATTTTTTTAATTTTTTGCCGATTTCTGAGAAATGGCCAAACTATCGAAGATTTTGGCGTTTTCTTTAACATCCAGACGCAAACCCAAGTCCATTTTATTATCATGATTTTTAGTTATATTGAAAAGTGGAGATTTTTTATACTAAAGGAAATAGATCATTGTTTCAACCTATATGTTTGTATGTATATTCACGTCAATACTGCGTACCTCATGGTCGGTCATATAGGTATACGTCCCGGCCGCGTCGTCCGAAGTAAATCGTCACCCCGCGGCGCTGGACGTGCAGCATTTACGGGTATGAAGATCCCCCGTCCTCGACACCATCGACCCTCCCACCAAGATCGTCATCACTTACATATCAGCATGGGTAGGATGCAGACATTATGTTGGTGACCGACCTCAAAAACGACCGAGACACCCGCATGATTGACAAGCGCCTCGAGACTTTCCTCAACCACCTCCTCGCTGTATTTACCCGCCGCGGAACGTCCGTCGTGCCCTGCCATTTCGACGGCATCCTGTTCGACTTGCTGGAAAATCTCCAGCTGTTCCTTGCTGCGATCAACCACGCGCCCATTCCCATCTACTTTGTCGCAACCGAGCCGTTGGACGCGGAGCCCTGTGCCCCACAATGGCTATGCCAATCGAAAATGCAAAAGGTACGAATATTAGCAGTATCAACATCAATTCATGACCACCCATTCGTGTTTTGATATGACGAATATTCCGTCATGGCAAAACGCGGCCATTTTAATTTTAATATATATATATTCCCTTATTCACACTCCAATATAGTTGCGGTTTGCGTGCTCGACCCAAAGAATATTATATATATATATGTATTAAATAATCGTAGCTTTTTTCCAATTTGCGGTTTGCGTGCTCGACATAATATATATATATATATATATATAAATAATCGAGTAGCTTTTTGCCGGCGCGTCTCCGTTTGTCCATGGCCAACTGCGGGACGAAGGACATCTCCGGTTTGTCTCGCCTGGTTCCCCCGTGCCCGTCGAGGTACGTGTGTGTGTGTACCGTACAGTTTCCCCCTGTTTCAATTGTGTACCGTACACTTTCGGGTCAAAATTTGAGAAAGTATGTAGGAACCGTGCATTGTGTTTGCCAACCACCCGAGCCTCCGCATCGGCGACGTCGTCCAGTTGATTCCCAAGCTCCAGCGGAACGCCGCCAATGCGATTGTGTTTATTGATCCGTATGTGTCGCCATTCGAGGCCATGACGCCGTTCCAGCCGACGGCGCTCATGGAAGTGATCCACGCGCCTATAGACTTTCGCCTATCATGCAATAATGCCAATATCCTCATCGCCGAGTGCAAACCCCAGACGCTGGTCCTTCCCGCCTGCTACGCCTCGTACGATTTGATTGTATTTGGATTGGCCTACGTTTTTGCCCAACATTGTTTCGACTACTGTGTCTATCGATCAATATATCGTTTGTGCTGAAGTTTTATATGTTGTCGTCTCCCCTGTTTTGCTTTTTGGTATTATCACCTATCCACGAATTGATTTTTAGGTATCGCTCGACTTTGAGATGTTGAGCATGGATGGATTCCTGCAATTTGATTGGCTAAAAATTCTATTTTTCGGTCGATGGTTCTTCTGTACGTTTATTTTTACATAATTTTTTAAGGTATTTATTTTAAATATAATTACTGTTGCTTTTCCATTTGGAGTTAAAATAGAATATTTATTTTATTGATTTGTTTTTTGTGCTCGATTGAACGAACCATGCAAAATTGGGAAATTTGTATCAAATCGACAATAATTGTTTATAATTTATATGACGTGAGCATGCTTAGCGCCCCCCACCCCGACGGGCAATGTGTCCGCAGCTTAAAAGACCTGATTGTAACTCGAGAGGTCGACTCGACCGTGCTACTCCACCATTTGGAGCCAATTATTGTGACAAAACCGAAAAAGGCAGTCGATGCTGTCCTCGACCCCGAGGTACTCAGAAAGAACTTGAATAATCATATCACGAATATTGTTTATTTGAAAGAAAACTTCTGGATATATATATCAAAGTCGTTCTATATCGTATTAGTCGGACGTTTGCAGGATCAAGTTACATTGTACTAAAAAGTTATCAACTATTTTTTCCAACTTGCAACTATTCATTCTATTTTCATAATCCATACTTCGCCGTATTCAAATATTATGAGATTATGAATTATATCCTTGTATTTTGTTCGTTTTCTTTATTTCATGGTGGTGCCGACCCACGTATTTCAATGTCGATATATATGTGCCACTCCCAGGATGGACATACTAGTATTAAAAATTTCTAACTTTTTTATTTATTCCCTAGCTGGCAGCCCAAATCAACCTGACGACCATCGATAAGCACGCGGCGGCGCTCGTGCGCACGACACTCTCGTTTGCATCTGGACGTGTGGAATTGAAGGCGGTGGACGGCGACTTCTGGGCGTTCCGCCGCCCCCCTCCTCCACCTCCTGCTGCTGCTTTGGACCCATCCAGTCACTCCTCGTTGGAGCATGCTGATGGAGCCCCGTGCAAGAAGCTGTGTGTGCGAGAGCAGAGCCACGTCCTGCTGGGCGAGCTCGACCTCGAGTCGCTCTTGCACCAACTGCAGGTACATACGTTCGAACCGTGGCACTTTTGTGTGAATAATAGGGTGGACTTGTTTATCTATTTTGTGAATTGTGCTTTCGAGTGAAATTTCAATGTGTTGTGGTTTCTCGTTGGAATTGAAATCGATTTGATTGGCTACCTCAAATGAGCTCAACATTATTAGCCAATCAAAACCTTTTCAATGAAATGCAACAACCAATCAGATCGATTGTGGATCGGTTTGGTCGGCGCGATTCGATTGCACCCGGTCCCCAAATTTGTACTATCAAATCGACAATATTTAACGGGGTTTATTTACATTAGGTCGAGTTTGGGCCAGTGCACATTGAAGACCTCGATATGGCGACCCAAGTGTCGTTTGGGGATACGGTCATAACGTTTGTCACCAACGAAAACAAGACGGTGGTCGCGTCTGGCAGCGATCGCGTCCGTGACCGCGTCGCACATCTTGTCGTTGGCCAGTTGAGTCGGTTTTAGCCACGAACAACATAGGCACTATATATCTCGTTCGTTCTGGGAGAGTCAAGTGCTAGCTAGCTATAATGACATGCAACGTCTTGGCAAGAGTGAATCAAGTGGCCACTAGGAGGGGAAGATGCTGCTACTTCCCTTTGGACAAATCGAGACCAAATATTAACGGTGAAAAAAGAAAAATAGTGTACTAGTATTGTTGTGGATTCGGGACAACTTTCCACACCATATCACATCGAATCTCGCTGCCAGCCAATTTAATCGACACTATTGGCTAATCCAAGTATGAGAGCTTTCGATTGGCTTTTTCACAGAAAGGACAAGCATGTTCAGCCAATCCGAATTTCTAGCATGATTCAATGTAAACGGTGCTACTTTGTTGCAATAATATAAGTTTTATGCATATTTGACCAACGGGCACAAAACCCGACAAACTCGTGAACGTAGCGTGAAATATGTGCTTCTTTTTACACAAATATTTGATTAACTGGCGTTCGACGACTCTGCGCCAATTCCTTGGCCACAAATAGGATACATTACACGGTGATAAAATATATCCTTCCCCATCTAGCAACAACATACGCGACAGCACAATTTCAACCCCGTCGTCTTTTGGCCATTACTTGCAAATACAACAAGTTATACTAGTTAGTATGTATACACACAACCCTCCTAAATTGCATCACGGGGAGTTCGTTTCAAATGGTGACAGAATTGTCCTGCATACTCGACTGCTTGTTTGGACCTAAGCACCGGTGTACATGAGGTCCATGTTGTCGTCCTGGAGTGGAACCCAAGTTCCAACACACCAAGTCCGAGGTCTATCGTCGTGGACGTGCAGTCGGTCGAGCTGAATTCGTCTCGAGGCGCTAGCGAGAGTTCGAAAGCTACATTAACCTCCTTACGTGTTAACACTTGTACAGTACTTATTCATACTACGCGTTCACTACTGTTTGTGTTTGTCAAGCAACACTGACACATTGAAAGGTGTTCATTACGTTGGAACTTGGAGAAACTCGAAGCATACCGGTATCACTCTACCTACTCGCGGATCTGCTTCATGGCGCGGTCAGCCCTGCACTTCAAGAATGCCCCCAAACACATACAACAATGAAATTATATAAATATTACTACGTAGTACTTTATTAATATTACATTCCCCACTACCGGTAGTTATTGCGTCAATCTGCCAACGTACACAACAACACTAACGTCAATACAACCTCGTCTTCCTTTGGCCATTACTGGTAAATATACAACATATACAATATTCACAACCGTCCTAGTATGGAGCTCGTTTCAAATGGTGAAAGATATCGAGCTACAGTACTTGGTCGCTACAGTACTTGGTCGGGACTGGGTTGACAGCAAAGCATCGCCGCACCATCTCCAGGTTGCTTGTTGAAATGTGCATGTCTGACACCCGGACGGCGACCTGCAGCGGATCCAAGGCCGCAATATTAGTACGGCGTCATGATACGTTTCCCACATGGTCACGCCAAATGCAAACACGTCGGACGCCTCTTTGTAGAGCGACAGGTAAGGGGGGTTGGAGCGACTCGGGGGGATAGTGGTTACGAGGTCCGACGACATGCGACCCCCGTCCGTCCACCACGAATCCCCGTCGTGCCAGCCCAAAGTCGCCGACTTTGACATGGTACGTGCGACGTGTTGACAAACAACCACATCCCGGTGCAGACATGCTGAGGCGTGAAGATGACTCAGTCCGTTGGCGGCATCGCAAACCATGTTGGTCCGGATGGAAGCGGGGCACTCAGAGGACGAGGAAGGGGAAGACACGACGGAAGTCAGCGACCCGAGCGAATGAAATGAACTCGGTCATGACGGCGAGCAGGCTGTTGAAGTTGGTGCAAGCGCCGACGAACGGCACGGTGGACGGATGGTGGCCAAACATGGACAGAACCACCTCCTCATGTTGGAGCCACGGGATGTCTGCCTGGCGCAACGCCTTTATGACCACTTGTTTGCCTTGATAAGAGCCCAAGTACTGTCTGTACGCACCTCCCACCACGATCGATCCGTGCTTCCGATCCATCAGGCCCGCGACGATCTCGTCCGTATGGCGCCCCACGACAAGGTGAAACAAGGTGTAGGTGAAACGAAACGACGAAATTGGGGCGACCCGACCCGTCGAGGGACAAAGGCCGTAAAGTGAGGAGTTTGTTGTCGTCATGTGCCTCGGCGAGCCCCCTACTCAAGGTCATCGTCGGCCATGGTGGTCATTATCGCGGGGAGACTTAACAGACGGTGCACCACCCAGGGGGGCAGCTGGCCCAGAGCGCTTCAACACCGTGTCACACAGCGATTGGAAAACCTCCTCGTCGCTGGACGCAGGGATGGACTCGTGTCTGCTTGTTGACGTTGGAACTGGGTGCCACCTGCTTCAACTGGGGGGGCAGACGTGGACATGTGGCCGGGAAACGGCGTATGCGGCAGCGGGGTCAAAATGCTGAGAGGCTTCAGCCTTTGGAGAGGTTGCTGTTGTCGCCGTGCTTTCTGTTGTTGTCGACGTCGTTGAAAGGCCCGTTGAATTCGAGTGGCACAAACATCAACGCCCACGACGACGAGGCGGTCCCTTTTGGGGGACATTGGAGGGGGAGGGCTGGTGCACGCACTGGGGCTACTGTTATCCACTGGCGAATATAGTTGCTGGGCCACTGTAAACTCCATCGTTGAACGTGGTTGGCCAATATGTCTACGGCATTGGCGTATGTCTGACGATGTAATTTGTCATGATCACTTGGGTTTCTAGATGGTAGGCAGCACTACCGACAAGCGAAACGAAGAATGGTACAGCAGCCAGGGTGGCAACGGTAGTGATGATGAGTGACCGCTATACATGGCTTCGGAAGACGATGGCTTTGTCCATAATGGTAGCATGATGGCGCAATATGTGGATGGAATGATGGCGCAATATGTGGATGGATAATACCGCGGCAGAACGACCTTCGATCGCAATTCGTCACCTGGTTTCTTGTTTCGTCAGGCTATGAATAGGAGCAATACGTTTCCTGTCGTTGCCGATATTCTTTGCAGCATACCGATAATGATCGATTCCACTCTCAGATCGAGTAAAATGCAACTCCTTCACATTAGACGAATACCAAACTTTCACCATACAAATCATTGAAATCGAACCCCATCGGCGCCAGCGGGCGACCAGCACGTGGGACACGTCACCGCCACTTTGCGGCGGTCACAGCTCGTCATCAATGCCTTGAAGCACGCATAGTCTACCTTGTGGCTGCATGGAAGTACGACCAGGGGCTGCTTGAGGCCAACAAGAGATCCAAAGCACATCCCGCACCCCTTGGTATCCAGGGGGGTTGCGACGACCACCAGGCTTTGCCACGTCACATTCTTGCCTTCATTAAAGCGATGGTAGAATTCACCACTCGCCGCTTTCCAAGGACTGCTCATGTGCATCCCGTTGTCGATTTGAACCCCTTCAAAGCGCCAGCGGCAATTGTAAAACCCGCACGTGAAGGGGACGATTGAAGCACAACATAGGGCACAATGAATACGGTGCTGCAACAAGTTAAACGGCCGCCACTTCGTGGGGCAAATCACTAAGTGCCCAAAAGCGTCGCAGTCTTTGTTTTTGCACACCCCTTCGACGTTCAGCCCGATTTGCACGTGTCGCCACATTGGAGCATCACGCAAAAACTTGCGCACTTCCAAGATGTCATCGTTCGACACGTCGACAAACTCGCCCGCTTTAGAAACATAACTTAAACCCCCGTTCAGACTCAGTGAAAAGTGCAGCGTCGAGTCTCGGCCAATGCCATAGTCACAGAGCTGTCGGCATTTCTGGAGCTGCGCCCCTCCGTACATCAAACGATGCTCTTCTTGGGGAATGCCCGTCTTGTACTCAATCTCGCTACACACCTCAGCGACAGTCGTGAGATTGGTTGTCGACACTGTAATGACGTTGCCCGCCAACATGGACACGAAGATGCACGACGTGCGCATGTCCGCCTGACATTTTAAAGTCAGCTGGTAAGAAAACACAAACCGGGGGATGTTGGACCGAAAGCATGGCAGGTACGCGTCTAGGTCCCCGGAAGTCAAGTGCTGACCATGCAGTCGTAGCGTGCTTCGGCTGACGTTTTCCAAAAGCAACTTCTTAGCCAACAGTTTCTTGATCGCATCGACTGTAGCCGCTCCAGCAACCTCAGCAGGAGGTAGCAGCAGAACGCCCTCAGCTTTGTTCGTAGTCGGATCCAACCACACCACTTGCATGTTCCACTGCCAGAGGTAAAGTGACGATTGTTTGACGTGAACACCGTCTCGTCGCACTTTGCCAACGGTGCAATTTCATTTCGTTTGCCCGTTACAGTAACACGACTGGGTAAATGTATTCATTTGGTCGTTAACGTTAATCCTACTTCAATGTCTTAGTCTCAAATTCTCATGCAACCGCTCCGTGTGATGTCATCTCCTTGATATAACGTTCCATGTCCGATTTACGATAGTGGTGCTCCATGTTGGGGGGGAGCATGTGCGATTTTGGCTTTCAAAACCCACGGCGCATCCTTTTGTTATCAATCCTTCTGTCGTCACACAACAAGTGGTTTACCAAGGTGCTTATCCCCAAGTTAAACTTTTCAATCCCCGAATCTCCAATCCAAACTTACATCGGAGCGAAAAAATATGTCACTACGGGCTTCTTGAACCAGTCTAGTTACGATGTTGTTGTATTCAAAATAATGGCCGATTACCTCCTAACAGTGCCAGTACACAAGGACATCACTAATCGTTCGAAGGACCAAACTACGGTAACAGGTTTCGTAACATGCTCCCCATCAGCGCCGGCTGGCGACCAGCAAGTAGGGCATGCCACTGATGTTTTGTCAAAGTTCGTTTCAATGCCTTGTAGCACGCCAAGTTGAACTTGTAGCTACAGGGGAGCACGACCAAAGGGTATCTTGAGGCCAGCGAGGGTCCATAGCACCTACCGCAACATTCTGTATCCAGAGGGTTGCAACCACAGCAAGCTTTGCCACGAGACTTGCTTGCATTGCTTAAATCAATACATTGCCGGGCCTTCGCATTCCACGGACTGCGCCAGCGACAATTGTAAAATAAAAAATACCCGCATGCCAAGGGGACGACCGACAAAGTGCACATTGGGCAGTGGATGTTGTTCTACAACAAGTTGAACGGTCACCACTTTATGGGACAAACGACTGATTTTTCAAATGCGTCGCATGCTTTGTTTTTGCGAATCCCGTGGATGTTCAATCGATGTAGACATATCCCCACTTTGGCCCACCATATGACCTTGCGAAGGCAACCAATACCTTCGCAACAAACCACAATCCTCCCTTCACGCGTAGCGAAAAATGGAGCATCGAATCTCGACGAATGCCATAGTCGCACAGATGTTGATCGTGTTGGAACGGCACCCCTCCAAACATTAAGCGATGCTCGTGTGGGGGAATTCCCGTTTGGTGTTCAATCTCGCTGCACACTTCAGAGACGGCCATGAGGGTGGTGATCGGCACCGTGATGACGTCGCTCCCCAACATGGACACGAAAATGGACGACGAGGGGGCGTTCCCCTGGACTGTCGACGCCAGCTTGTACGAAAACCCAAACCGGGGGATGTTGGACTGAAAGCATGGCAGGTATGTGTCCAAGTGCTGGCCGTGCAGCCGCAACGTCCTTTGGCTCACGTCGTTTTCCAAAAGCAACTTGTTTGCCAGCAGCTTCTTGAGCGAGTCCACCGTTGCCGTCTCCGCAACCTCCGCAGGAGTTACGAGCAGAACGCCCTTGGCTTCGTTCGTAGTCGGATCCAACCACACGACTTGCATGTTCCACCGCCAAAGCTAAAGTTCCGTTTGTAGTGTACACTTCGAACACCGTTCTCGTCGCAGGTATCTTTTGCCGTTGAGATAGTCAATTTCTTTCAATGGCCGAATATGGGTTCGATGTCATGGGACGAATTGAATAGCAGGTAAACTAACGGATCGTGTGGCCTGAAATGGACGCAGGTTGCGGGTTACTTGGAAGTAAGTATTCGGCAATGCATATGCGGAAGGCCGTGAATGTCGTCGAGGAGGAATCGTTAGAATCAAATGGAAGGAAGCTACCAAAGTCCCTTTCTGACTCGTATAACGGGACGAAACTTCTCGTCAAGTTGGCTCCAAAGTCAGTTGGTGTTGCGTGGTGTCAGTGACCATCAACTTGGCCAATAACTCCCACGTGTAGTTGTAGTAGTAGTAGTAAGTAGACGTTTGCATTGCATGGTTTATATTATAAATACTAGTACTAGTATCGCGACTAGCCCAGAGCCAGCGCGTCGATGCCAGCGTTACAACAACGCCGTGACGGGGTCAATTGTGGTGCCTGGGTTGTGGGTTGGGCAGCCAGCGCATTTACACGAGTCGCCGCAATTGCATTCGTAACCAAACGCCATGCCGCACCCAGGCACCGCCCAGCCCACCGCCAGCGCCGCGGTGTGCGCCATTGTGGTCTGGTACTTGATGCACCCGCTAGAGCACGCAAACGAGCACTCGTGGTGGACGGGGGTGCTTCCCCCCTCGGCTTGCAGGGGATCAACCGACGATTCCCGGTCCGTCAGGTGGAGGGCCACCGTCGCGGCCATGAGCACCACTTCGTGCGCGTCAAAGAACCCAAACACGTCCACCGTCGCCAGGTGCGGCACCACCGCCACCTTTTCCACGCCTTCAACGTGGCTCAACACAGTCTCGAGCTGCAGTGCGACGTCCATCGTGACGTGGCACCCTCCTGTGCGTTGCATGTGGAACCTACTGTGATATTAAAACGAGTGATTGCTGCTGACTGGACGTACTGACGATGCCATGGCACGGGGGTGACAGACACCAAGTCGGCTTCAAATCCAATGGCCTGGATGCGTGCGATGAGGGCATGGGCAGTGACCGTGTTGTGGCTCTGCACGACTACTTGGGCGTCGTCAAACTCCAAATGTACCTATACATATATAGAACATTGTGACGTGGACAGATTCATATTGTTGGGGTTATGTCAATCCTATCTAACATATATATATGTTAGATAAACACAAACCATATATATATATGGTTTGTGTTTATTCTAAATTGGAGCGATGTGCCCAATGTATCGACACAACCAAATGTAACGAAGAATCGGCAGAAGAATTTTTTAGCCAATCAGATTCCAGGAAATCATCAGTTCAACCAATCAACAGCTAATCAGTCGTCCCTACTTCAATTAGTGTGACGGGCATTTTCCAATGGCTTTTTTTACATCAAAAATTCAGAACTAAAAATCGATCGATGGATTTGGCAAATCAGAACAAAAGTCCAAATTTTGGCTGAAAGGACAATATGGTTGTGTTTATTCTAAACTGGAGCGACATGGAGAATTCATCGACACAACCTTATTGGGTTAGAATATATGGAAGATAATCAAGTAAATGATTCATTAATTTATCTATATTATTAGTGACTATATTAACTTGATTCATTGCGAATATTGAAAACATTACGTCAAATTTATACACATATTATGCCTTATATTTTTTAACCGCAGGCTTAATTTTATTAATTGCCTTTATACATAACATTCGAAATATTCAAAAAGCATTTAGATTTAAAAAAATGATAAACAAAAACTTCCAATGTACCAACATCTAATTAGTGTGTGAGTGTGATTACAATCACCACAGGACAACTGTTTACATACAAAATACAGTACAAAGAATCGATCGATACATTTGACGAATCAGCAGCATGTAAGTCTAAAGTTTGGGTAAAATGACTACTTATATATATATATATACGAAGGATTTCGCCAATCCGCTTGAACAACTGCATTCACGCGATCAAGTTACCTCTAGCACCGACGCCACGCTTTGAATTGCACGGACCACCGTGTTACCGCAGTTGGCGACGCACATCATGCCATTCACTTTTAAAATGGTTTCTACAACCACAAGACTCGCCATATCTTCGACCAAGCTGTTTTCAAGCACCGAGTAGCGCACGTCAAGTGCGCCTAGCGCTAATTCCAACGCCGCGCTGGAGTGGGCAGCCCAACGCACGACAAAACACACGGCGGACTTTGGCTGCCGCGGGGCCGACGAGTGCCGGTAGCCCAAGATGTGCACGCTGCGCACTTGAGGTTCGCTTTGCAACAGCGCGAGCACTCGAAGTTCGGTCCATGGCACTTGCAGCTGAACTTGCACCAGCAGCCGGCGATAGGCAAACGCCACCGGTGGCGCTGAAGCCAACATCACAAGACTTTCGAGCGGTGAATTCGCGGTCTGTGACGAGGCAGTACTACTAGGACGTGCGACGCGCCGAGATAGGAGGTCGCTGTCGTCCGAAGTCTGAGACAAGACCTAGCCAGTATCGTCATTGCTGCCTTATGGTTAGAATTGGTTTACCTCGTTGTGGATGTCCTTGGAGTGCTCCCGACATCGACCTTGCCCATCGCGAGCGATCTTCCTGCAATTTGGTGCATTGCACAGCGGCGACCCACCGTGCTCGGGACATTTACCGCTGGCCCCTCGGCCCATTTTCGTACAGTCCGGCACAGTACACCGCCGGCCGCCACCATGTGCACGGCAGAAGCCTCCTCCTTGACTGTTCTTATCGCAAGACGGGAACCCACAACGCTTGCCACCTCCATGTGCCGTGCAATAACCGCCACCGACGTCGGCTTTGCCACAATCGACTGCTTTACACCGCTTTCCGCCGCCGTGGGACCGACAAAGGCCGTGGCCGGCGTCCACCTTGATGCAAAACGGAACCGTACATCGTGACCCGCCGCCGTGATTGCGGCAAAACCCACCTCGCTGATACCCCTTGGTGCATCCCGGGAACTGGCACATCTTCCCACCTCCATGTCCTACGCAGAGGCCTCCACTGGCCGCGAGCTTGTTGCATCCAAGCTCCGTGCAAGTCTTCCGTGGATGTCCCATGGCGTCAAATGTAGATTTATGGTGTCGATGAGTTCAGTCCACATCAATTCGTGTTAAAACGTATTTAACGTTATACAGTCTTTATCCACTAAAATGATGTAGCGGAAAGTGCACTTTCCGCTACAGTATTGTACGTCTTAAATGTCAAATTGATCGAGCCATACTACTACGGAGTACTAGTACTAGTTACAAGGCAATTCGTGGGTTGGAATAGGTGCTGCAAGTGGCCAAATAATAAAACGCATACTGTAGTACAGTAATACTTAGTAAGTTCTATATTTACGACTCATCGGTTTTACTACTATTAATAGTTTTCAGAGTACTTCGAAGTATTAATAACGAATAGTTATGAAGATCCACGGTCAAGATGACAATACTCGGATGTACTGTACACCTTGCGCGCAGTTGAGGAAGCCCAGGAAGCCGCTCTAGGGCCCAAAAAGTAAGTTGCTGTAAGAGATGTACCTAGTTGACAAGCTTGGCGCATGTGATTACGTTAGCGTTAGGAATAGAACTAGAACTACATTTCCATAGTTTTGACCAATCATTATACGATAGACAAGTTTAAACAATAGGAAGGAATAAAAGGGTCCTATTGACCAATTATTTAAACTAGTCGATCGTACACTATTAATAGGATTAATACTAGAAATGGGACAAATTTGGTAAGGTTGAAAATACCCCATACAAGCATGAAGTTCTTTCACTAAAACTGAACCTAATTTATTTCAGATCGATTTATGAAATTCATAAGATGGCTTCACCTTGCGGGCCAACAGTACTATTAATACTTCTACATAACCTACTGTTTCAATTGCGATTCTAAACTTACAGTTAATCTAATACAATAAAACCAAATAAATCTTTAACATAAAAATAAGGATAAAAAGGTATAGTTTCTATTACCCCCAATTGTTAGAAAGTGCGTGTATAGGGTAGTTTGTTGATTTCAGCATTCTGATTGGCTGCTTTGCGTATTCATCAGTGTATCATAGATTTATCATTTACCCCGGAGTAGGACAACTGTACTATATGTCTCGGGCAAACGACTTGATTTGGTCTACCCTTCAGTGACTATGTCCAGATAATATGATGCTAACTGATGGTAGTTCACCCATCACTTCCTACTTTGGGGTTTCGGAGTTTCGGCAACCCCAAGGGTGCGACGGTATCTACCGGAAACGGCATATTTTTACCGCGAGACGGCAAATCGGCCATTTTTACCGTTTTGTGACCACACGACGGCAAAATACAGCAGCCAATCATTAACTACTATTTGAAGTATCATTGAAAATCTCGTAAGTTAGACGCTCTCAGAAGCACGGTTGGCTCGAGAAAATGCAACGCAATTGAGATCGGAGTTGCCTCCTTTGACTACCCAACTGACTGGGTTGAACGTCACTGCTCGTGAGCATTTTTTGTACCTTTCGAGGTCAACAAGTGGGCAAATTCACCCTCCATGCAGCTTGAAATTCGTCCTCATCAGCATGAACTCTAGTCCGTATCACTATGTACCCTGGGATTACTTGAGCGTAGGGCCCAATTCATTGTCTATGTCGTTGTCGTCGTTGTCCCATCTTCCATCAGCCGAGTCATCGTAACCGGATGAGCCTGTTATGCGGAATATTTGCCATTTTCACCGTTGGCGATGCAAAAAAGTAAAATACAGTGACGGACGGCAAACGTCAAAATACAGTCTGAGTTACCGTCGCACCATTCAGTATACCCTAAAGTTGATACTTCGAAGTATTTTGTATCCAAACCAGAATAAAGTGGCGCTTTGATCGGGAAAAGATGTAGAAGTCGATAAAAGTGATCGCCTTGACCAATAATGTAACAATGAAACATTGATGCACTCTGATTGGGTAATACTACAATTCGTCTTTACTTCTGAGTATTACCTAATCGATGCCAAAAAACAAAAAAAACGCATCACGTTTGGCGTATTCTTGCCACTAACGGCTGGCTGTACGTGTACACCACTTATTCCACCGCCGTGGGACCGTGGCCGGCGTCGACCTTGATGCAAAACGGAACCGTACATCGTTACCCGCCGTCGTGATTGAGGCAAACCCACCTCGCTGCTACCCCTAGGTGCATTCCAGGAACTGGCACATCGTCCCATCTCCAAAACCTACGCAGAGGCCCGTAGAGGGGTATCGTTTCTCGCGACAATGCGCCTGGAGGCTGCGGGAAATCGCGTAATCACTTTGGCCTGGGCAATCTGGTTTTCGCGATTTCCCGCGTAACCGCATATTATATTTGTAGTATAACGTTAGGTTGGCTTTCAAACCAAAATAGAATTCTTTTGGCAGTTAACAATATCTAAACAGGTGTTTTAGATTATGTACAGTACACTGACACGATTCGTAGCCGAGTTTGACTTTATTTGAACATATTTTCATTCCACAATCTTGAAGCCTAATCTCAACGTTATACGAGCCAAAGCGATACAAAATTCAAAGTTTAGGTTGGGCTAATTTAGGTTGAAGATTGACGAAACTGACGAAACTTCAATGTTTGATGCGCGATTTCACATGAACCAATACGACGCTACTAACGTTATGATAAATATGGAATTTATTACTAGTACAGTACATGGTATTTATACTACAGTACTCAAGTACGTAGTAGTACTATATACTACTTCGAAGTACTAGTAGTACGTAGTAAGCCACAAGATGACACTCGGAGGTCCTTTGCGTCCAGTTCATGAATGGGAGTATTCGATTGTATATCATCAGTATGTACCTGTATCATAGATTGGTCCTTTACGTTGATGGGCTTGATACGTTGATCGCCCCAGCACTGCATCATGCACATGTAGCATCCCAATCGAATACGTATACTACGTAGTACAAAGCAGCCAATCTGAATGCTGAAATCAACACATTGCCCTAAACACGCCGTTTCAGAGCATTTCGGTAGAAGAAAAGTGTAAGTTAACAGTAAAAATGTGTTATCCATAAATTATAACAATTGATCATTTACGTTATCTCCAAATCATCGGAAATGCAAAAATATATTCATGATCAGCATACACCTGTGAAAAATAGTACTTCTACTGTAGTATTAGTTTTAAGAAGAACCGCGCACAATTCGAAATTTGAGATTTTGGTTGCCGCGGCGGGAGCGCTGGTCAGCATGGAGGACGACCATACGTACAACATCACATCGAACCCATGTACGTAATGCATCATGGCACGATCATGTCTAAATGGTGAGGCATGAACAGGGGGCAATCTGCAAGAATTCTGTCCAAAGGTAGGCTGCATGCATAGTCGTGACCGCGTGCACTGCACTTGCGACAACAATCTATTGAACGTGCTGCCATAGGTCATTGCGCCAACGGTGACGCTGGGTGCTGAATTAATGGAGTTGCATGCGTTTTTGACGAACCAGAAACCCAATGGCGACGTCGATGCAGGTAACTTGCAAGCCTGTACATCATACCGCGTGTGCTGACCTTTGCATGTAGCCATCAAAGCCATGAACAAGAAGGATATAGAGGCGAAGAAGCGTGAGTTGGAGAACTGGAACTTTCGATTGTACTTGGACGAGGGCAAGGAAATGCAGCGCGGTCAGCAGCTCAAAATACTGTCGAGCGACTTTCCCATGGGTACCCATGGCAAAGGTGGTACCAAGAGTGCTACAGCAGTCTCGTTGTCTCCTTCGACAAATGGAACCGCGGGGAATGGTCTCGGTCGTAGCAGCAGCTCCACCACCAGCAAGCGTCTTCGAAGGGTGTAAACTCTGGAATTATATACTAACAGCTTCCGTACGAGAATCCCCATCCCCTGAACAGCAAGCACAAATGAACGCTCCAACGAGCGTGGCAGTTCAGATTCGGAATTATATTCACAGTACCGTTGACTGGTTAGAGCTGAATGTTGTGGATTGAAGTGCCCACACTATATATAACGTTAGTCGACATGGCTGACATTGCAAGTCTTGGCTATTATCTTCACTGGACAATTCCTAATGAATGGCCAGCATCGATTCTTACACTGTGTGCACGTGCCCCGGCTATGCCAATACACAGTGCGCTGCGAGGGCCACCCGCGGCTAGCTCAATAGAGCCGTGGAGTTCGCACAGTCGTCCGAGAAGCTTTGACGCCAACAGCGCGTAGATGCTGATCACATAGAAGACGTCCACAGACGGCTGGGGACTGGTGTCCGTACCCGGCACAATCGTCGCGTTCTAGAGAAATTCCACGCCCATTGAAGCAAGAGTCGTTCGTACGTAGTTGCATCACAAGTGTGCGTCACGTACGTGACGACCTTGACTTTCACTTGGACGACCGACGAGTAGCCCATGAGAGCTGGTGTGCTACGGTATGGCCACACGCCCACGCCATGATCACTTCTCGGAGTATTTGCCTAACTCGAGTTTTGCTCACATACAGAACTTGTCATCTTACGTGCGGACCTTGGCTCCACCCTGGCAATTGGAAGTCGATCTTGTCTTGAGTCAATTCTTCGATGAGCGGAATGCAATACCCCGTGACCAAGTACTAGTATACACGTTGATCTTACTGTCGACTTCTCGACCCCTCGCTAGACGACGCAAGCGCCCCGGGTGTGCTTGTATCGTTTGCAACTAGGCGCTCGAGTTTGGTGAGAATTGGTTGTGCTCGATCTTGCCGTATTGTTTCGAAAAAGACGGAATCACATTGGACGGGACCAGCGCGTAGATGCTAATGACAAATTTGGACAAGTTTGCTTGGTTGCGGTGCCTGCAGAATCCTTTCTGCTGCCAATGGCCTCGCTGCGGTTTGATAATCATCATGGTTTAGCTTATTTATATATATATAAATCGCATTGATGTCACCCCCTCGCAACGACGTGGAGTAGCCCATGAGGTCATGCGTGCTATGGTGGAGCGTTATGTTAGCTCTATTGTGTTCCTCGTCAACAATGTGGTGTGGTGTATAACCCTTGGAAATTCAGTGCGCAATATATCTATACCTTGGTTTGCAGTACATTTGTTGCCAATCTTGATGGCATGGGTTTGTTCCAGTGGCAACGACGCCGCGACACAACCGAATGCCATTCAAGGCGCCGACGTCATGGATGTGCTTACGACGTTTCGACCACAAGTGCGGGCGTTGGCGCTGACCAACACGTCGGACAAGGTCGCGCAGGACATTGTAAAGCTCTGCGACAACGTGCGGTGCGACTATCTCCTCTCCACCAAAGGAGCTAGATAAAACATATAGGTGGAATCGTGCATGTGCGTCAAGAACGAGTTGGTCGTGCACTACGAGAGTTCATCAAGACACTATCAAAAAATATATATGTAAAATACAATATGATGATGAAATACAACAGGAGGCCACTATCGTCTCGCCACGTTGAAAATATCTTCCGTTTTCAACGCCTACTGTCCATCCATTTTATTTATCCATGATACTCACAATCAACTACACTACCGCCATCGCCGTTACGTACCACATGTGCACTGTCAGATGTAGCGTAGCCGACAGAAGCAGCGCACAGCTAAAACACACGAGCAGCGGGATCATGACGGCCTCCACCAAGTGCGCTACAAGTCCCCGCCGACGTATAAGAGCCACTCGGTTAGTCAGTCCGCGCCGTTCACATGGACCGCTACAAGTACCGCAACGTCGTCACATGTCCAATACATCATCACAAAAACCAAACCTCAACTCTTGCGACATGACTGAGGAACTTGGAAGACATTCACAACGAGATCACTTTAAAGGCCACGTACTGACTAACGGTGACGCGGCGTAAAACATGTTGTATGCGTACTACTGTAGTACGTAGAATAAGTTGTTGCAGCAGGCAATCGGGTAATGGCAACGATCGACGTGTAGAGGAAGAACGGCGCTGAGTAGCTGGCAGCCGCAGTGGGACCATGTCCGCCACACTCACGGCGAGAACGAGGTCAAACGAAAAAAAGTTAACACTCATGCTACACGATAGCGTCCAGATCTTGTACCCGTTGGCAGTAAAGTAGTAAATGTGTCATACGTCCGTGTACAGGAGTCCTGGCATCGAGCTGAGCTAGGTAACACGAGTAGCATCTACACAAATGACATGCATGTTTGGACACTCTGTGGTTTGGTCCATTTCAACGTACCTTGCGACGCTCAAGCCCGGATAAAAGTGTGTACAAGAGCATCGGCTTTCCTTTCATGACCCCTCAAAGCCCTACGAGTGCGTACCAGTCGGATATGACGTGGTCGTTTTATGGGGGGAAAAGTGGTTTTGAACGGGGGGAGGGGGGGTATACCCTCAAACGTGATTTGTCGTGATTTCCCCACTCTTGGTGACAATCAACGATGTTCCGTAACCAGTGTACTGTCGCGATCTTATGTAGCATATTTGTAACCACATCATGCATATCAACGTAGGTTAAACTATTGACCACGACGTAGTCCCCACGGGCTACGACCATCTATGTTCCTAGAGTCGTCAAATATTGTCAACTATATTGATATCACTAAATCCACGAGGGGTTAGAAGGGTTAGGCATTCATTTGTTGATTGAAATACGCTTGTTGTTCATTGGCGCAATCGGCCTGAAGCTGCGTCAAGTCGGTTGTGCATTGCGCGGGGGGCGACGGGTTCTTCGGGGGGGCCTTTCCCACGGTGATCCCCACGGTGCTTGTCAGCGTCAGTCGGTACGTGCCTTCCGCCTTGACCGCCGGGTTCTCACCCACACAGCTCTCCAAGGCGGCCCATCTGTATTCGTTAACGGCTTCGTTGGCGTTTTTCAACGACAGGTTGCTCACGCCCACAGCAACTACATGTGTGCCTTTGGGCAACGTTGCAACTAAAAACGAGTCCTTCTTCGACACGCTGCCATCGGAGCGACCGTCTGACGGCCGAAGCATCCAGTCCACGTCGTCGTTGAAATACGCCGTGTACTTGGGTACACTCGGGTCCCGCGAGTACACGTACACGTTGGAGTCGAAAAAGTTGAACCGGCAATCGTGGTTTAGGTCGGCGTAGGCGTTGGCGACTTCGTCAATCTCATACGACAAGATGTCGACCGCCACTTGGCCCGGGGCGTCCAATGTGATCTCGTATTGGTCCACCGTCGTTTGAAACGAACGCGCCGACGTGCCAAGCCGCCGGAGGATGCCGTTGAAGGCGACAGGGGGACCAAAGTTTGCGACGGGGGGGCGGGGGTTGATCCGGGGGTCATTAAAGGGGGGGATGAGCCCTGATCCGACGGATTTGGGCAGGGCGACTGCGTCCGGAGGGAGTTGAAAGCCTCGCCTTTGTAGGTCCGCCACGATGCTCAACATGGGGATCCCAGCGTTGTTGCAGCTGGAGGCGCCGCAATAATGCAACGCCACCACAGAGTGATCGATGGCGGAAATCACAGGCGAGCCAGAGGACCCGCCGTCCGTGTCTGCGTTGTACTTGAGTCCCCCCTTTGTCTCGCAACTAGACCAGGCCAGCACGGTTCATCATGTAACGCTTGCATAGAACAATTTCAAGAGATTCAGAGTTACCCTGCGGTTTGAAGACTTGTGATGGTCACGGGACCGCGGGACGTCGAGTCCAGGAACGAAATCAATTTGCACCCGCCCCGAGGATGTTGGGGCACGTACACAGGCAAGTTTACTACTGGGGCGACCGGCGTTGCTTGCAGGTACCCGTATTTCCGAGCTACGGCGCCGTCAACCTTGAGCAGTGAGTAGTCCAACGTTGGATTTGTATACACGAGCTTGGCCGACACGACTTCAATCACACCAGGACACGTCGACCGCATGGAATCGTTGCAGTCAATGGTTTCCGCAACGAATTCAAATTGGGCCGTGGACGCTTCGGCGATGCTGCCTACATCGAGCCCCATGATATAAATGACATTCAACTTGATAACGTAGACAATCAAAGTGCAAGTACAGAACAATGAACGTTCATGCTCACAAGCAATCTGCAAGTAAAGAGATTACGGGAAATAATTGAAAGTTCATCGACACTACATACCGATGCAATGGTTGTTGGTCACGATGTGACCGTCTGAGCCCCACAGCCAGCCCGTGCACAGATCGGTTCCAAACGGATTGTTCGGGTCGACCGTGATGCGTACCACGGGGCGAGAATGGGCGTACATGCTGTTAGTGGCGCTGGCAGGGTTGTAACCACATACGGCGTGCACACTGTCATCGGTGCCGCAGAGGGCTTCGCGACGGCCAAGCGCTTGGGTTTGGGCTACCAAATCGTCGCTTGTGATATAAGTAAACGCATCCACTTGCAACGAATGGGCTTCTGTAAACCGCACGTGGTCGTCCGCAGCGTAGATTTCCACGACCAAGTAGTTTGTGTACACACGGGGCAGGGTGACGTTGATGTAGCCCGTGTCACCGCTCGGAAAGTACGTTGACGCGTTGGTTGGGTACTCGGCGGTCGCGAGAGGACGCAGGAGGACGTAGCTGTTGGAAGGCAACGACAGGGACGATAGTTGCAATGTGATGGACACGGCATCGCTTTGGAAGATTGGCGGACTTGTCCACACTGGGTCCACTGACGTTGTCAATCCAAAGTTGCTTGTGGCGCCTACGAAGCGGTATGTCGAGGCTGGCAGGGGCACAGCGCGCAAGGCCGTGGCAACTGGGGACGTCCATGCCAAAGCTAAGACGGCTACAAGTACGAGTGGCGACCCATACATATTGCACTGGAGATCGCAATGGTTTGTGTCGTGGCATACTAGTACACAGTTACTACTCTGAAAGCAGTTATTCGAAGGGTGTTCATCTATTTTTAGATTTCAACCGTCGACACAAAACTGGTATGCTTGACGGACGAGTTTTCGTTGTCCGTTGGGCCGATGGCGACAAGGACGGCTTTGATCACGCCAGCTCCCCTGGACACAGGTCAAAGGCGCAACTGGCCGCTTGCTGTCGGTTGCGCCACGTGCCATCTACGCATATTTTGACGTCGCCGTTGCACGGCTACACATTCATCAAGGTCCATTCCGTTCTACTTTGGGCGAGCAAGGGAATGAAGTTGTTTGTACCTTTGGACGAAGAGTATACGCTAGTGTCGTCGGCATCGCAGCCGCCAGTAATACAAGTACTGCCAAACACGGAATGTGCATGATAATGCTCAATGCAGAATGGGCCAAATTTGTGAATTGTATTCAGGTTACGCTGTGATTTCTACGGCCACTTCTTGATAAGGGTACAAGGCATGATGGTAGCACTTTATTAGAGTTCGCTTTCTACCAATGCTGGTCACTTCAAATCCGTCTGCGCATCGTATGTTGATGTGAAATTCTGGACAATTCGTGGCTGTTACTTTTACGTATACTAATGCCCCCTCACCCCAAAATCAACACAATTTATGCTAGTTTTGTTTTGGGGTACCCCTCTATTCGTAGTTATAAACGAAGTTCGAAGGACTCTCGAACTCGCCAACAACCAACCCCAGGCGGCGGCGACGGTGACATGGCAACCAGTACGCGGTGGCGCGCCGCTGGCGTTGCTAGTCGTATGTTGATGGCAAGGCGGTGCTTCCTCACCGTCCCTGAGTTCCTGCAGCCATCCAGCTTGCGCAAGGAACATCGTGAGAAGAAGGTGGTGCCGTTTCCTTGCCAAGCCATGTTCGACGTCGTAGCCAACGTGGACGAGTACGTGACGTTCCTGCCATTCTGCGTCACATCGCGCGTCGTGTCGAGACCGTCTTCCAACTCCATGGAGGCCGACTTGACGGTGGGCTTTCAGATCTTCACGGAAACATACCGGTCTCGCGTCGTCTTGGAGTCCCCGCGACGCATCCTCATCAAGTCGATCAATTCCCCCACATTTAAGTCCATCGAAAGGTGTGTGTCTCCATGCAATATGCAATCTAAATGACAATGCTTGTCTAGCGAGTGGACGTTCCGGCCGGTCTCGACCACTTCGTGTGAAGTCAATTTCCGCGTGTCGTTTGAAGTGGGGTCGATTCTCCATGCACATGCGATGCGACTCTTCTTTGACGATGTCGCACGCGTGCAACTGAATGCGTTCATTGGCCAAGCATCCAAGCTACAACAGCAACGGCAACTAGCCCAGAAACGGCAACAGCAATCTCCACCTGAACCAACCCCAGCGGGCAAACCGTGGACAGTACCATTCCTCCAAGGAAAAGTGCCAGCCCCAGTGCTAGCCCATCTCAAGCACGTCTTCATTGCACATGCCACTGCCGAAGCTGGTACGTACAAGCTATCGCTGGCAGGGTTTGGGGCGGCCTGCCACGATCTGGTTCACACGTCGCCATGGGCCAAAGCGTCACCCACGGTGGAAGACTTGAAGTCTATCAGCGCCAACTCCCAATCAGGTACTGTAATAGCACGTACAGTGGTGAGGATGGTTGAGGTGATGTTTGGTTGCACAGCGTTGGCATTTGCAGTGTTTGCCAGCTACATCATGCCGAGTCAGCACCAACCCCACACGCATGAACAACCACCGCACCGCCAAGAGCTGTCGTTTACCGAGTTTGCAGTACAATGCACTTTGCATATACAACAAATCGTTGTGATTTCACACTTTAGATATTGGCTAGACGGGTGTATACTTGACACTATACGGTACAGTGGACGACAAAGCCGTACACATGTTCCAAGCGATCGATATACTGCACGACGGGCGACTCAGTCCAGACGAACTTCGCCGCGCCATGGAAACCAGGCTTCGGGTACGTACATACATGATCATGATATTGGCCGTTTTATCCAAAAGTTGGTTGACTTTTGTGCTGATTGATTCGCCAAAACTATCGATCGATTCTTTGTACTGAATTGATTTGTATGTTTTCAATCACACTAAGTGAAGAAGTCACCCACTAATTTGATGTTGATGATTGTTTGTCCTGCAATCTGATTGGATGATAGTACTTCTGTAGTTTAGAATACACACAACTCTGTACTTATTACTACTTCGTTGTCCATACATATTCCCATGGGTGATTGATTTTAGGTGGTGCGAGATGTGTTTCCGCTGTTGTTGCAAGAACAACTCGAGTTGGCTGCATCGTCGTCGTCGTCGCAGTTTACTTCGTCGACGAATCTGAACGAAGAAGGCATGAAAGTGGGACTCTTGGCCATTGAATCGCTCATGGCCCAAGTCGAAAGCGATATCCCGCTGGCCGTGCACCAGATCTTTCTCAGCATGACCCTGGAAGAACCCAACCACATCAACCTCACGGAATGGCGACGCATGTGGTAATATTGGTGTGGCATCGTTGACGAGTGTACGTGTCTGATGGCTGGACGGACGACGTAGGCACGATCATCCAGAACTGGTCGAGATGATGACCATCGACGGCATGAAGAAGATTCTACACGTCGCGGCGGTGGTGACACCGGCCAACAGATAGACCTCCACTCCTTTTCTCATTCAAGTCATGGGATAGGCTGTTGTCCACAGTGAACGATGGGTGGTCGTGGTGAAAGTCAATCTCCATCGAGTTTGCATTGTGTGCAGAGCAACATTTTCGTTTATCGTTCCATACTAGGGTATTGCACCGTGTACTGTACTACTACTTACTATACAATAGTTGCAGCACTTTTCTGAAGCGGCTTGCCGGTTTCACACGCAAGGGGTGGTGGCATAGTGAATTCTGACGACCACTCAACGAAGTGTATGTGGGGTGGACGACGCTTTCAAGTGGGGTGAATTTCAATGGCTTCTCCGACGGCGGGTGATTCGATCCACAAAATAGCTGTCTGAACTGGCCACGAGGACAAAAGGGTGGCATCGGGCACAGACGCAGGCGGGCGTGTCATTTCTTCGACACTGCCATCCAGTAACTCATGCCTTTCCCTTTCCCTTGTCGTGGGTGCGTTGGAGCGTCCACGGATCTCTATGAGATCCACGTGCATCCTAGTGGTCGTTCGATGTTTGATTCGATGGTGTTGTGAACATGAATCAAACGTCGCGTACATCCGTGTCCGCATTCGAAACAGACACGCTGAGGTCGTCTTGATTCACCCCGAATCGTAACGTCGACAGGAGTGGGGTGATAGTACATCGAAACCACGAAGAAATCTTCAGCCTTCAGCTTGTATGAAAGGAGGGCATGGTGATCGCTACATTTGTCTGCATGTGTGTGTATATGGTGTCGCGAAAAGTACCACTGTACCGTCAACGTGATTGTGACTTCGTACAAATCGTTTGTTCGAAACATTGTTCCAGACGTTTGAATTGTCCTAGGAGTATTTGATAATCATCCGGATATACAGCATCCGCCATACAAATGCCAAGATGTTGTATTCGGACTATAAGGCATACCAGCAAGGGGCACCAGCTGGATACGCCGGCTGGTGCCTCGTGGCCATTTTCAAATTTGCGCTGGACTGCAACCACTCTCCGTCCAGTATGTCCGGCACCAAGACCCCGACCACCGTGACGTCGCAGCAGCAATCCCCCATTGACATCAACCCGAAAGCCACGAAAGAGGTCGTGATGGACAAGCGCGTTGGCCACATTCACCTGGCCCTTGGCTCCGCCTCTGGCCACATGGAGTACCTCGATACTAACTTCCGTGTCAACTGGTGTGGCGACGCCAAGTCCGTCTTGACGCTTCGCGACGGGCGTGAATACCACCCCATCCAGTTTCACTTCCACACCCCATCCGAGCACACGTTGGAGGGCAAGCGGTTCCCGTTTTGCATGCATTTGGTGCACCAAGCCGCCAATGGCGATCTGGCGGTCGTGGGAGTGTTCTTTGAAGAAGGTGAAGAGAGTTCGTTTTTGAAGCAATTCTGGCACTACCTGCCAGAGTTGGACCCCCACGGCGAGCACTTGACGGTCAACAACATCGACTTTGACAGCCTCGACATCACCAACGAAAGCTTCTTCCGCTACCAGGGCTCGCTGACGACGCCGCCATTCACAGAAGGCGTCGAATGGGTCATTGTCAAGGACGCCCGCACAGTGTCCAAGGCGCAAATTCTAGCGTTTATAGATGCCATTCCTGGAGAGTCCAACGCGCGAGAGTTACAACCTATTCGAGGCGCCGCCGGAAAGATGCTGTTTTGCTGCTGACAAAATCTAATCTAATCTTATGTTCGTTATTGTATTTATTTGTCACTGTCCAATTGTGCATTCCTGGCATCCTTGTCGCAGGATAGGACACGTTACAATGATTCGAATCCTGGAAATTACCTTTTACGAGTACAATTTCACTTGCATCGCTAGCAACCCACTCGGTGCTGCAACATCGTTGGATTTCTGGAACGCCACTCCTTCCATAAATGCATTGACATAAGCCAAGCCAATGTTAAACTTCGTTTTGCTACCAAATAATGGAACACCCTCGTTTCCCCTTCACGACTGATAATGCCATCTCGTGGGAAATGTTGTTTTTCAAGACATGCATTGATATAAGGAAGCGACTAAATGAGATGTCAAGACTTCTTGAGCTTTGACCACCGACAGACAGTGGTGTTGGCTCTGCACCAAGCCTTAGCATTGACTTTTTTTGCGGTTGTATGTTCGGTGCTTTTAAGGTGGACGGTATTTCCAAGGCTATTCTTGCCCAGTTCGCGCTCTCCAATGAGGCCAATATGCGTCATCCAAGGGAGCTCGGTGACGACACCATCTGGTGGAAATGAAACGTTTCGAACCGTTTCAGCATGTCCGTTCGAAACGGTGATGAAGTTGTTTCGAACGTAGACATTGGCACAAAACGACAACATGATTTATTGGGGTTAACAAGGGACTGCCAGTGGTTTTGTGTCAATTACTGTACTGTACACAAGTACATGTACATACAGTAATTGACACAAATGAGTGATAGAAATACGCAATTCATATTAATACTAACGCCGAACAACTTTTTATGCGAGCTCAAGGGCGAAGTGCATAGACGCAGCACCTTGGTAACATGATGCCGGGCAGAGATACACGCACTCCTGTTGGCGCCCTAAACGGATACTTGGTAATGATTGCAGCTAACAGTAAAATCATGCATGGGCCTCGACGTGCTGGCATAATTTATGTCACTATTTTTGCTAAAGGTTTCAAATGTAACAGTTTCTGAGTCCCCCAATATTAGAGACCTTTAGCAAACTCGGAATTTGACCATCGCCACCGCATCCCCAAATATTTTTGTCCCCATCCCTAAATTAGAGCCAGTTCTCTGGTTTTGGGATGTCCATAAAAAATCATTCATTTGGGTAGCTGTCCCCTTCCCAATTGTTCAGACGCCGGAAGTTCATGCTATGCCAGGGTATGGAAAAAATAATTGACAATTAAATACAGAAAATAATTTATTGCAAAGCGCTGGACAATTACAATAATTGATTGTGCGACATCCAAAAATAATTTTACTTGAGCCAACGAGCCAACAATATAAGTTTTGTAGAGAAATATAATTGTTCATTTAAATATTTGACAATTAGACAATTAAATATTTAAATGCAGCTAACAATACAATAATTGTATTGGCCATGCGTTGCAATACAATTGTACTCCGGAAAATTGCTAAAAAATAATAATTTCCCATACCCTGATGGTATGACGTCGAGAGGCTGCGAAATGCACTCCAGACGGAGTGATGAACGCTGTTTGCACCTCTCTAGACGTAGTTCACATTTCAGAGGTTACGGCGGTATGGCATGTCGATGGTCACAATCGCCTTGTGGTTGAGTTTCTCAAGGTTGGTCATGCAGGTACTTACTTGCAAGCCTACTTCACCACAGCGATTATGTAAGCCCGCGCATCACGTTATAGAGCGTTTTGCTGTCGCGCCTCTTGGACAAACCCGCGTCCACCGCAGCGTCGGAACGAGAGTCACCGGCATTCACTACCGCAGCGATTTCGACCCGACATCGATATGTCAGTGAATGCCGGTGAATCTCGCTCAGCTACATCGTCCACGTGCGCCACGTTGTCCGACTACGATGAGACGTGGTTCAGGATGCCGACCGGTCGCTGCTAGAGCATCCCCACCAGTGCGACTGTAACGTTAAATGCTATTTTACAGTTCTATTCGGATTATTTACAGTTTTGGCAACCACATCGGGCGACTGTGAAATACAGGAAACTGTATAATGTTACCGCAAGACTGCAAATCGGCCAGATTTACAGTTTCGACTGTAATATACTCGGAGTACAGTTTTGATGAATTAGCCAAAAACATGTTGTCAATGGATAATTTTGTCCAATCCTCGGTGTCATATAGTTGACAAAAGCCAACAATCACTTTCCTTCGAGCAAATTGATCCTTCAAACGCGCTCACGGCTCACACGTCACTAAACTCGTCGAGTGCATCGGCATATCTATCAACCAAAGCACAACCTTCGCTGAGCAGTGACACAAGTTTTCAGGTGTGAATGACCGATTTTCCTTCCTTCCATCAATCAACACATTAGAACAGCCGTCATTCTCAACCGCATCGTCCATAAGTCATGTACAGTACTTATAGTATAACGACCTTGTCCAACTAAAGCGCGGGTGAGCTTTGCTCCCCATTCTGTAAATTGACTTTGTGACCGAAATAGTCAGTCGACTATACAGGGGCAGGTTGGAAGGCGGCCTACTATTGACACTATAGGGCGGGAAGGTGGTCAAGGATCTCACAAGTGAATTCCACGTCATCACCGTCGTCCAAAGCAAACTTATGCCCCTGGGTTCATTTCCGGATACGATAGTTATGAGGATTTTTTACCGTTTTATGGGGTTGACGAAAATCAAAATAACGTTACACAAACTGTAAAACGGCATTTTAGAGCCTGATTGATTATACAGTCACACCGATGGGGATGCCCTTAAGGATGGAAAAAAACTACTAACGTGACCTCTCGTTGATCAGCCGAACTTTCGATGATCGGCCGCGCAAGATTACCCAATGAAATACATATTTCATTTGATTGGATAAAATACTAGTATTGTCGATTTGATACAAATTTGGGGACGGGGTGTAATCGAATCGCGCCGACCAAACCGATCCACTATCGATCTGATTGGTTCAATTTTTTCTTTAGGTTTTGATTGGCTACTAATTTTGAGCTCATCTGAAGTAGCCAATCAAATCGATTTAAATTCCAACGAGAAACCACGCCACAACACGAAATTTCACTCGAAAGCACAATAGATCACCCCACCTTTATTATCTTATTGTACTCAGTTGATGGAATTGGTTCATTTGCGCTCCAATATTCAATACCTGCGACATGTGGTTCTACCAGTACTGTAGTACATAATGGTAATCCAACCTCAATTAATCAATACCTGCGACAATATAGTATTCCTCAATAAGTAAGTTTTTTGAGCTTGCATCACTACAAATACCCAATAGTTTAAACAGTATGTGAATCTGCCGATCATGAATGTACTGTTTGAGTCGCCTATTTCAATAATTTATTTGCCCAAGTTCAAACTCTTTAAATTGATTTGTAAGCAGATCATTTAAATAGAGGATGAATCAGGGATTCCGAAAACTTCACTTTCATGAAGTGGCACCTTAAACTGCACGAGATATGCTCAAATGAAGGGAGCTCAAATTCGGCTGATCAATGAGAGGTCACGTTACACCTTTCTGCAGTTAAGTTAGACGAATGCCCGATGTATTTGGCCGTGTGTCCGATATATTTCGCGGTTTAATTGGCCATGTGCCCGTTTAATTTGACGCATGAATGTCGTGTGTCCGATATATTTGGTCGTGCGCCAGAAATAATTGGCCGTATGCCCAAGCAATTGCCCATCTGCCCGAAGAATTGTGTCGGTACATGATGAAAATGGAAATCACACAAGAAAAAGTCAAATCAATATATGAAATGTTCGTCAAATGACACAAGCAGCAACGTCGTTGTGACGTCACATACCAACGTCCATGTTGCCCTTGGCCTCCGCGCGTCCACCGAGGGTGCGTACATTGAGGTAAATCGAAAAATGAGCTCTGCGGCAACAAATTGAAATTTTGGAGGGAGTATGGACGAATCGTTGAAGTATAGGGGCAACTGTATACTTTATTCAAGTCAATACATGGAAGTCGTTTAACGTTTATTAATAATCCATACTTCAACTCCCTCCAAAATTTGAATCTGTCGCTCATTTTTCGATTTACCTCAATGTACGCACCATCGGTCGAAATATACTGCAACCGTAGAGGCCTGGACGAAATATGTCGAATGTTCGGCGACCATAACTCACATGGCGTAATCAGTTGTGTGTCGGACGAAATATACCTGAACTTAAACGAAAAATGGTGTACTATTAATATTATTATTAATAATAATACGAGTACTACTACGTAGTACTCCAGAGTACTTAGTAGTACTACACCGCTTCCCGTTCAAGTTGAAATGAATTTCCAGTCAATGTGAAATGAACACGTTCGAAACACGACGATTTTCAAATCAACTTGAATACTCTAACATTCAACTTGAAACATACTTTGTTTCATATATATTCTGGTGTATGATTTGGATAAAGGAGGAAGATGGGTGAGGGAGGGTAGACATGATGATTGAATCACTATTGTATACTGAAGGGTAGTATAATTCATCACCTTATGGTTACTATACTTTCGTTGAAGTAAGTTTAACGTTTCATTTTGAAGTGAACATTCTTCATGTTGAGATGTGAAACTGCACTTGTGAAATCTTATAATATTTCTGCATTTCACATTGACTGGAAGTGGTGTAGTATTATAATATGTATTGCGACGGATTAATCTATTGCGACTCCTGTAATAACTGATAATATTCTTGTAATAACTGATAATCTTCTTGTAATAACTGATATTTACTTGTCAGCATGTTGATTATACTGTAGTTACTTCAAATTTGTATGACGCAATGGATTACTCACTCGGAGTAACAAAGTTTTGAGAACGAGGCTGTGGTTGTAAAATATCACCTGTCGCAATACATATACACTATACGGTAAATGTAGTATTTAAAAACCATATGATTTTGCTTGCTCGGAAAGTCCCAACTAATTGTCCCAACAAATATACTACATAGTACTACTAGTACAACTGGGAGATGTAGGAACAGGCCGTAAATTTGACATTGAGATCCACTACCGTTAACATGTAAACGGACATTGCCATGATGTTCACAGAATTGCTG